TGTGGCGGGCGCGAGTCGCGGCGCGCGGAGGGGACCGGGGCGGGAGAGCTCCCGGGTGGCGGCTCCGCAGCCCCCACCAGGCCCGCGGGTTGCCCGCCACCGCCGCCTCCCCCGGCGCCTTCCCGTCCCCAGCACGGCGATAGGTCCCCCCGCGGTGACTCCTCCGGGCAGGCCCAGGGGGAGACTGTGGCCCCGCTGGTAACGGGGCCGCACGCCCGGGCAAGGCTAGGGCAGAGCCGTGCAGCGCGGAGGCTATGGTGGGGTCTGTGCTTTGCACGTAAGGGGGTCCCAGGCTGGGTCAGCCCCTTGCTGTTTGAAATAAAATGTCTGCGTCGTTTGCGTGCTTTCCCTCAGGCCCGTGGGGAGGGCTGATGCTCACCGGGCAGCCCCGTGGATGGCGGCTGGGCCCGGTGCTCCTCCAGTGGCAGCACAGCCCCTGGCCCGGCGGGCAGCAGCTGGATAAACACATCTTGAGGGTGTAGCTGGTGCCACTTGGGTTTCCCTCCATTTGATGCCAGCCCGAGCATCAAAGAAAGGCTGGGAGAGAGGAAACTCGCAGCAGATCGCTCTCCCAGCCCCTAGGACCCCCGACTAGAGCCCCCCAAAGTTAACACCCTGTTTTAGCCCATCAGAGCCCACCAGTGCAACCAGTCCCTGATGCAGGCATGACCAGGGTGGCCCCAAATGGGTGCTTTGCTTTGCGCCGCTGGTGCCCTCATTCCTCATTTCCCTCCTTGTTTTCCCCAGCTGCTGCCCAACAAGTGTTTTAAACCGTTCCCAGGATCCCATGGCTCTGTGGGTCAAGTCCTCTGCCTCCCTGAGCCCACAGAAGCCACCAACAGCCTGTGACAAAACCAGGCAGTGTCCGAAAGGGAGCAAGGGGACAATTATGTTTTCACCACCAGTTGTTTGGGCTTTATGGGATGACGCCAGCTCCGCAGGCATCCCAGAAAAACTGGTCCAAGAGGTTGGAGAAAGGCAAAGTTCCCTCAAGGGCTGACGACCAGCCCAGGGGAGGGCTAAAGCTGAGGAAAGGAAAAGGGTAGAAAGGACTGGTGTGGCTTTTAGCGGCCTGACCAGCTGCAAAACCACCTGGTGACAGTTCAGCCATGCTATGGGAGTCTGAGGAGTCATGGATAAGAAAGCCCTGGGGAGAAACAGCACTGGGGGCTTATGGGGCAGAGGAGTTTGTACTGATTCCTGACAAAATTAGGGTACAAGCTGCTGGTGGCTGCAGCTGCCAACAGCGCCAGGCATGGGGCCTTGCTGGGAAGTGAAACACAGCAAGAGAGGAAGGCCAAAACGGCACCAGGCTGAAACACTGGGTGGCAAAGGGACCCAAACCACTGCCCTGGGCTGTGTCTCCCTGACAGGAGAGACCTGCTGGCCACTGGGAAAGCAGCCCCTCGGGCTGTAACCTCAGCCTTCCCGAGCACAGCACCAAGGAGAAACATTGCAATAGTGGGGGGCAATCTAGGGGGGGGCATGTGTAAGGCAGGTGCCTCAGCAAGGCACTGTGGGGCTTTGGGGCACTGCTGGGGCCAGCAGCAGCGTCCCTGGGACCAGTGTTACAGATTTACACACACAGCAGGGTCTGACCCTAGGATCCTGCTGAGAATGCCAAATCCGAGTGAATGTTTCCAATTAGTCTTTCATTAGTTTTTTGTTTACAGCTCACACTGGCTGCCTCCGGAGAGGGATCCCTACCCCAATTCATGCCTCTCAGTTACACCCATTCCACCCATCACCCCATCCCCAAGTCCAACCACTGCTAATTCTGCTCAGTGGTCTCTTGGTTTCTTACTGGTTTTCACTGTGGCTGGGCTGGCCGCCTTCTGAAGTTACTTCATTCTCTTGGAATTGCCTCCTTGGTCCTCATCTTCTTCATTCCACGGAATTCAGGGAGTTCTTTGTTAGCAGTTTTATTGAAAGTTTACGCTTGGTCAGCTCTTGCAGCCTAAGGCTTCAGCTACTTTATCTGCTCGCGCTAGGCCACCAATGCTAAACAAGACTATTCAAAGAGGAGTACAGTTAATCAAATTTCTTCTATAACACCAGCATCGGGCTGCCCAGGCCCCCCCGCCTCTACCCGCCCCGGTGGCCCCGCACGCCCGCTCTCCCTTTGTGACGCCAAGGGCCAGCAGGGGAGGGGGGCAGACACCCCGTGGCCACGGCCGCTCCTGACGCCGGCGGCAGCCACAACGTGACCAAAGGTCGCCTGCACCGCCCCGGCAGTGCGACAGCGCCGTGGATCCGCCGCCGTGCCCGGTGTGCCCTCCCGCCGCGCAGAGTTGGTTCCTCCTTCGCCTAACCCCGGGGCAGGAAGCGTGGGGTGAGAGCTGGGGAGGGCGGGCTGCGCCTGCTGGGGACCGGGTGGCCGGCCAGCCCCACGGGAGGCACCGCCATGGCCCGGCAGGAGCAGGAGAAGGAGCCAGGCTCGGCAGAGCACAGAGTAGCTGGCATCGCCCAGACGTTCACCTTCCTGGAAGCCTCCCAGCCTCAAGTGAGAAGCCTGGCCCGCAAGTCCCATCTCTGGCCAGCCGCTGCGGAGAGCAGGGAGCATTTCCACCCACTGCAGAAGATGGACACCACCAGAAGCCTCAGCCGGGGCAGCCAGGGCCTGGGGAGCTGGGGTAGGACTGCGGGCAAGCTGTCCTTTGGCTCTGGCAGTACCCGGCGGAAGGAGCTGAAGGAAATCCTCCTGCAGTGCAATAGCCCTGGCAGCACCAAGCGCTTTTCCACCGTTCAGAAGACATCTAACAGCAGCAGCGTCCTTGCAGGACCACAACAAGAACAGAAGCCTGAGCAGAGCCCTGAGGTACTGTCCCTTGCCCTTGATCCCCTGGAGCATGAGTGGCTGCTGACGGTAGCCCAGGGCGACGCAGACAACATTGTCCGGCTGCTGGACCTGGACCCCAGCCTGCTGACCAGGAGAGACTTTGTGACTGGCTTCACCGCTCTCCACTGGCTTGCCAAGCACGGCCACCATGAGCGCTTCATCCAGGTCATCTCCCATGCCCAGAAGATGGGCTATCCTGTCAACGTGAACATCCCCACAGCCAGCGGTGGGCTCACCCCCCTGCACCTGGCTGCCCTGCAGGGACATGAGCTGCTCATCAAAGTGCTGGTGGGAGCCTATGGGGCGGACACCAGCTGCAGGGACCACAACGGGCGCAAGGCTTGGCAGTACCTGAGGGCAGACACCTCCAGGGAGCTGAAGGAGCTGGCGGGGGCCTTGGAGGAGGACTTGGTCCAGCTGTGCTCTCACAACACCAACAACAACTGTAAGTCATCCAGAGAGGCCAGGGCAGGGCGGGACTGCGTGGACTCTGGGGCCGAGGGGAAAGCCCAGCGCTCCTGGAGCCTGTCGACCCTCCGAGGCTTTGTCAGACAGGCGTTCAATTTCTTCCAAGAGCGCTGAAGCTCCCCCGGCCCATTCACCTGCAAACCCGTGCTGAATAGCAGCCGGATGAGCCTGAAGGGAGCTGGGAACTTGGCGAGGGTCAGCACTCAAAATCCTGGCCAAGTGGGGATTAACCCCCTGCATGGGGGCACCACGGCCACCCCAGGTCTCCTGTGGTCTTTTGGGGCTGTGCTGGTGTGAGTGTGCGGGCAACCATGGCCATCGGGAGCACCACTTGGAGCCAGCCCTTCCAAAAACCCACCTGGCTGTCCACCGGGTGGACATTTGGGCTGCCTATCCCTGGCTATCGGCATGTGACAGCAATTGGTTAAGCAGCAACCCAGCGACTTGGTTCTCCCACCTATAAAACAAGGATGTCGGCACTGCTCTGGCTCCCAGCAAGGCTGTGAGGTTGGGCTGGTCATGGCGCCTTGGGTGCCTGGAGAGAGATGCTGGCAGAATATAATTAAATATTTCATAACCATACTCTGGAGATGCCAGAGGCCTGGCAATGGGCTGATGATGGAGAAGAAACTATGGCTTCAGAAATAACCCCCCCAACACTTTTTTATGTACGCTTCTCTGCTGGCAGAGAGAGTGGGTACAGACAAGCGGACCGAGCTGCAAACGCTTTCCAGCCCCCTGTGAGACCTCAGGGTCTCTGCTGCATGTGCCTCCTCTGGGTTCCTGTGTTTTTTATGATAGATAAAGTGGTTTCTCAGTAAAGCAAGAGCTGGAATGCCTGGTTTGCCACAGGCGGCTGGGCCCGGAGAAGACTTTGTAAGTGCAAGACAAGTCCCCCTGGCAGCCCTTCCCTAGGGACCCCCATCCAGGGGAGCCTGAGAGCCTCAGCCCCACTGGGGATGGAGGAAGCAGGAGGGACACTGGGTAGCATGCGGTGGCTCCTGCATGGGCTGGAGTCCAGCTGCAGTGCTGGAAAGATGATTCATTGCTCAAAACCCTGGGAAAGGTATGAAGACTGTGAGATTATCTTTGTTGCTGTTGAGGTCACACTCAAAAATGAAACTCTCAAGAAACATCCCTACAGCAGTATAATCCCACGTGTATGTACTGGCAACTGAATGAAAAGGACAAAGCCTCTGCTCGCCTGCTTGTGTTTTGTTCACCAAATGGAGCTCTGCCCAGCTGATTTCAACTTGCTTTTCACGTTCTCAAAGGCCAGGGCTGCTTCAAAATGTCTTCAGAAAAACAAGGGCCCCTTCCTCTTTTTCATCATCATGAGACCATTTCTGCCCCCTTAAATAGCAGTCCCGTTTGAGAAGTGACTCAGACAGCAACCAGGGAGTTTCTGTTCCCCATCGCAGAGCAGCAGCCCTTGCGGAGACACCTCACGTTGGAGGGGAGTTGTGGTTTCTTTCCAGCTGCCTTTCTGGGGGTCTGCAGAGGTGACCAGGGGACTTGAGATGACCTCTGGCCCGGCTGCGTGGGTGAATTTGCACCTTGATGCAGAAAGAGAAATACCTCGGGGCAACTTGAGCCTTTGGGTTTCACAGACCCTGAGCAAACCTCATTTATATTCAGATTGTGCTCTGAAATGCTGCTCAGAAACAGGAATAACCCAGTCTGCAGCGGATGATACATGGAAGAACAGCCTCCAGATGAGTGGATAGTGATCAAGTGCCTGGATAGTTCCCAGACTAGGTGACTGGGTGGACAGATAGATGTGTCTGAACACCTTTTTAATGACTGAGGTCAGCAGCGGAGACATACAAAATACACTGGGAATGGATTTAATGCCTGATCTACACTGGTTTTGTAATGTTTTAACTCTAATAAATTAAATATTATGGCAACATAGCTCCTTCCAGAACTTCTTTGGCTACATCCAGGCCGCAGGACAGCTGGCTGGCTTCTAAGAAGTCAGGTCACACCAGCACAAACTCCATGAAAAGCACTGAGGTAAAAGAAAACCCCACTTGCCATCTTTAGTTCTGGTAACCAAAGAGCTGCTGATGAAAGGTGGGTGCATGTCAGATGAAAGAAATACTTTTTGACCTATTAGCCCTCTGCCACCCTTTGGCAGCAGCCTGCTGTTGGGAACAGGGGGCGGGATGGCTCTTACATCCTCCTCTGAGTAAGACACAGAGTAAACAGTGCAGTTAGTGAGAATGCCATTGAAGGAGCCGTTTCCTTGGCATTTGTACCTTAGTCAGGCTCCACCAGGAAACCCAGGCTTCAATGTTCTGTTTAATTGGCAGATGCTACACTTAAATATGACTAACTGATTTTTAGTACTTTCCTTGACAGATAACCAAAACCCCCTAAAGGCAGATTTCCCCCCACCACTTGGTCGTGGGTTTGGAGCTGTATTCTGCTCCGAGGCATATTAGGCAGGCACTTCAGAGGAAGCAAAACCAGAGTCCTGCTTCTCTGGGTGGTGTTACAACATACTCATCAACACCACCCCCTGCCCTGCAAGGGTTCCTCTCCACAGAGCAAAAAAAGGATCTTCTTCACGTCGCAGTACCCTTTCTGCTACTGTACGTTGTTTTTGCCCCAGACACCACGCCATTGCCAGCCACCCACCCCTCTGGCTCACCCATACCTCCAGAGGAAGAGTTGGTTTGGAAATAAAGATGCATCTAAAAACATTCCTCAGGTATACAATCAGCTCTAACTTTGCTTCTCACTCAGAAAAAAAAAAAAAAAACATACACAGCAAAATTAATGGACTAGAATATCCAAATTATTTAGAATTTTTTTTTCCTTAACTGATCTGCTGCTGTCTCAATTATTGTGTGTTAGGCCAGTTCTGCAGAGATCCTGGATCCCCTCTGCAACTCTCACAGGGAAGGAGAGGGCAAAGAGAGCTGCCACAGGAACAACAGAAATCACTCAAACCCAGGGATATCTGTGTTGGTTAAGGTTCTGCAGAAGATTGATTTTAACCCAATTTTAATTTGTACTAAATTTACTCCATGTTATCCCTTAATATCCAATTTGAAAAGCAGATTCAGTCAAATAGGGAAAAATAATATAAGGGGTTATTTTCCAAAGCAGCGCCTTTGTAGAAGCTGCTTCCATCTAATAAAAATAGCACAGTAATGACTGCAATAGGGAGACTATCTAATAAATAGTAATAAATAGTTCAATCTATTGCTCAGGAAAGCTTTCCCGCAAATGCCATGGAGAAAACTCTCTCCATTCTCAAGTCCATAAAATTACTTTTTTCCTCCTCAGCCAGGTCCTCATCAACACAGTTAAGGAGGAACTCTGGCATCAGTGGCAATGGGGAGAGGCAGGGGGTGGTTCGCAGGGCTCCAAGGCTGATCTTCCCTCCTCAGCAATGCTGTTATTCCCTAAACTCTTGCTTCAACAAAAAGAGTACAGAAGATGTTTTAAAAAAACATTGGGGTAAAAGTGTTTGCAGCACATGGGCCTCTGTTGAAACATCTCTGGCAATGCTGTTTGCTGCCTTCCTGTTGCAGTGACTTACTGCTTCCCCCTGACATGAAGTAGAAGCTAGACTCTTATAGGACAGGAAAAGATGCTAGAAGATACTGCTGAAGGGTCCTGAAGTTGGTAAAAATCCCAGCCTTGCTCTCCTGCCTCAAAGAAACCTCCAGCACACCTCAGGAGGGAGGGATTGTCATGAGCTTTGAGAGGTGTGTGTTAGTTATGCATTGACGCGTGCTTGGCATATGCTGCTGCCCACCATTATTTGCTACAAATTGTAACCCGAAGGAGATAAATCTATTTACCTTCAACATGAAAAGCAGCAACACAGGTGTGGCAGCCTGAAGCTTCCTCAGGAAGCTGCCACCCAGGAACTGAGCCACCACAGCAGGTGGAACCCAGACAACGGCACCTTCGCAGCCCGCAGCCTCAGGATGGGCTTTGCCGCAGCCACATCCGAGAAGGGGCCGGCACCTTCAGCTATTTCCCGCTGACCAGAGCGCCTGTCCCAGGGCTGCACTGGGGAAGGGAAAGGAGCAGCAGCCACGCAGGACTCGGTGCTGAGACACAGCCTCCTCTCCTCCACACCCCTGCAGTAAACAGGTGGTTTCACAGGCCCCAGAGGGACAAGTCAGCATCAGGGAGCTTTAGTGTGGACTACTCTGAGCAGTTTAATCCCTTCTTTCTTCTCTCCCCTTTTTGAAATAGCTGCTAACTCTTCCTTGGAGCAACATCTTGAGTTACTACCTTTCCGCTGAGAATGTTTTAAGTTAAGCTGCACCTGTGGCTGGCATCAAGCCCAACACAGAGCTCCAAACTCAGAAAAATTATTGCATATTCTAGGAAACATGCAGGTATTATGTACTACTGTAAGAGTATTGCATTCTGTAGGACATAAATCTATCCACTGCCCTTGCTGTATTCTTCCCTTTTCTCCTCCTTTCCTACCTCCCAAATGCAACTTTCATCTGATGATTCCACCACACCAACTCCCCAGCCAGGATCTTTGCCCCAGGCTCCAAGGGCTCCCTGCCCCATGTCCAGGGCTCCTGCCGCTGCAGGTGTATGGCCCAGACCCATCTTTAACAAATTCTGACACTGCTGCTTATTTTTCTTAGTAGCATTTCATAAATCTACCAGAAATGTAATCCAGAGTCTTCCCTGGGGTTAAGTAGTAAGAGGCTGACAATCCAGAGTTACTGTAGCCATAAGGGTCTACGGATCAGTAAGTGAAATCTGCCTTTTTCAAACCTATCTCTAAAAGAGTTTTTTGGTCTCACAGGTGTACAGTAAGTGAAATGGAAGACACAGCCTATCCTGTCTGAAAACAGCTGACAAGGTTTCTCACACTGAAATTATATTCCAGTAATGTTATGCATTATGTTAGTAATGTTAGTTTTTACTCTCTATTACTATCCCACCATATATATATATGAAATGATTTCAACCAAGTCATTCAGGTCCGTATTTATTAGTAATCCTGTACACTGTCAATACCCATGATGGTGATGGAAAGAAAGAACACTAATAGAACACAGTCTTTATGTTTCAGATGCAAATTAGTTCAAGATTTTCCCAGTTAACATCAATAACCCAGACCAGCTTATAAAAAAATATCCACAACCAAAACATTGGGGATTACAGTCCAGCGCTACAGAAGGAAGCACGTAGGGGTCACCAAACAGCGTACGGGTGTATCCATCTGACGCAGAAAGACAAGTGTTATTAGAGTTCCCAGGAGACAGTCTCTCTTACAAGCCCAGTTTGGTCCTTCTCCAGTGTCTCCTTTTGGAGTTGTACCTAAGACAAAAGCAGTGTAAATTAGCAAAGTGCACACACACACATTTGAAGATCCAGGCGGACTGAAACCACCTTGTATCAGCTCAACAGTAAAGGACTGAAATCTTTCTTACATGTTATCGTGGCAACCTGCCAACAATAATTAGCTGTGTACTTATTTTTTTAAACTTCCTTCACTCATTAACCAACTAGCACATTATTGCAACAGAATCTAAACCTCCAAGAGGTAAAGATGCCTGCGGAAATGTGTCAGCACTGGTGTGTAAGTATCCTACCTCCTCTGTTGGAGACAAGACCTGTGATCTTGTATTGATTGTCCAATGACAATGAAAACTACCTCTTGAATGTAGTTCAGGGTCTGAGACAAAAAGTATCATTTTTGTTCAAAATACAAAAGCAGAGCAGCATACAAAAAAGGCCCTCTTCCAGGAAAATATATTAGCTTATGAGTATGTACTTGTAAGTGCTAAGAACAAACGGTTTCAGCACCGTACAGATGAAACCAAGACAGCATTAGCAGAGTTACTCTCAGCAGGGAAATGGCAGTACTCCCACAGAATGAAGCACTGTAATTGCAGCCTGCTTTACCACAGTTTGCATAAAACTCAGCACCGAGGTACTGAAGTGCCACAAGACAAAAATTCATTATTTTGCCCCACGATGAAGTACTCCAAAGTACTGCTAAAACAGAACCCTGTTGTAAGCTGGTATCTGGAAGACAAGAATACAGACTGGTGCACACACCACTGATTTTTCCTAGAAAGATTTAAGTTAGAAGTAACAGAAAGAAAGCCTGGCAACTGTGCTGTTCCTCTGCCTGAGCCAGCCACTGCTTCTATCACTCTCCTCACTACTTAGGACAAAAAACTGTCCGGGAGAAAGAACCCTGTTCCCTTAAATAGTCTAGAGACAGGAACATGAGAGATAAAAAGCGAGCTGTGCAGTGTGAGTGACCAAACTATACTGGCTGAAGGTTTTAAAACAGGGCTCAGATACGCACTGCCTTCTGTACACCTCACACTTACCTAGTATTCTACAGTTACATTTTCCTAAATGTAAAACTTGAAAACAAACACTATAGGCAAACAAAAAGGAACTGCTGCATAATTCTGAGGTGACATACCAAGGATCTGATACTGTCGATTTTACCTCCCATACATCCAACAAGCCTTTTGCTCCCTTACACACCACCTTCTGTATCTCAGAACACCCACACTCTGTAAGATGCTGTTCCTTGAAAAGGCAGGAATGCAGAGGGGCAGCTCGGAGAGAGGGAAAAGGTCTTGGGAAGGGGAACGTCTGAAGCAGAGATAGTACCAGAATACAAACTCTGCAATCAATTATCCACACATACAGTTAACACTTTGACTTTACACGTGTCATTACTGGACACCCGTTGATGGCTGCAGAGCACCGGAACGGCCTGAATTGCTACGGAAGGCAACGGCGCGGGAGCCCCACACATAGGGGCCGCCGCTATCCGGTGGAGCCGGTCTCTGCGCCCGTACGGCGGTGGCGGCCACAAAACTGCAATTTTCTTGCATAAACGCTTTTTTTTTTTTTTTTTACACAATCAGCTTCCAACCCCGCAGCCGGCCTCAGGCCGCAGCTCCTCCCAGGCCGGCGCCGGTCTCGTTACCTGATCTTATTGCCCGTCTTCATGCGAATCCACTGCGGGATGGGCCGGTTCTGCTTCTGCTTCTTAGCGAGGAAGCGCTTAATCTTGAACGTCTTGTGGGACGACTGAAAGAGAGAGCAGCAGTTAGCGCGGCGGGGCGGGCCCGCTCCAGCCGCACCGCCGGAGCTCGGCAGAGCCAGGCACCGGCACCGCCCCCGCGGTGAGGCGGCGGCTGGGCCGCAAGGCCTCGGCCAGCCGGGAAACGCGAAAACCGCACCCGGAGCCCTCCCGCCCCGCGCCGCCTGCCCGCCGGGAACCCCAAACCAGCCCGCGGCGGGGAGAGGGCTCAGGGTGTCGCGTCCCGGCGGGGGATGGCGGCCGATGGTCTCACCATGGCGCGGAGCTGCCCGGCGTCCCGGCGATGGCGGCGGCGGAAGAGACGGAAGGGGCGGGGGGGGACCGAGACGGGAGCGGCGCGGGCTCGGCGGGGCACAGTGCCCCCTGGCGGCCCGGGGGACCCGCCCCGGCGCAGGCGGTGCTGAGTGAGGGACGAGGGCGGCGGCTCGAGTTTCTGCGAGTTTATTGGTTTTAGTACAAAATAGCTATGGCTAAAGTTCGCTAGCTTAGGAGGAGCTGCTACTGGTGAAGTCTCTTTCCGGGCTGTAAAACAATACTTCAGGTGATGAGGGAAGAGGAAGCAGTACCAAGAGGGCAGGAGTGAGGAAACATTTCAGACTCTAAAGTAAAGGGAGAATGCTGGAAAAGAACAGGATGCTCAAACCAGCTACATTTGATTAAAAATAAGCATTTCAACGTAGGTAGACTTTACATGAGAATTTTTCAAGAAGTATCCAATATTAAGCCAGCTTATTCATACACTCCAACTCAGTTACTTTATGCGAGAACCTCTGGAGAGGAAGGTCTCTCCCTCCCTGACACCACCACTCTAAGGCCAGACGTTCTCCTCTTCACGTGCCAGAGGGCTCCTCTGCACCAGCACCTCAACAGCCCCCGCCTGCGTACCTGTCTCCGTGCCAGACTGACATATTTAGCTACCTTTGCACCACACAGCAACGCCTGCGTTAACTCCGGCCAACTTGAAGCTCACTCTGCTGCTGAAGCACGTCACAGACTGGCTCCGATCACCTCACAGTAAAGCTCTGGCTCTAGATCCAGGTGTCATCTCCTCCTGACCGCATGACTCATTTATTATCATACTTAAGGCCATAAAGTCTTTCTACTTTGCAAAGATTCTCTTCTCTGTTGTAGTTAGATGCTGGGAAAATAAACTCAAATAACTGAAAATACAATGAGAACACATTTCAAATTCCGAATCTACAACTGAGGTTCTTTAACCAGAAACATCCAACAGCACAATGCCCCCTTTTCTTCCTGTGTTCCTTCTTCGCTTCGAAGGCACTTCTGGATTGCGTAGTACATGCTCTTTGGCTGCACAGACAGTCAGAACACATAAGGCTTGCATGCTAGTCACTCCTCCTCCTTCGCATTACTGGTCTCACTCTCTGGCTTCTTCTCCACCCCCTGCTCTGCAGGCTTCCCAGCACTCTCTTCATACTGACACAGTCTGCTTCGGCTTCGGGCTCCTGGCTGGTACAGCTGCATTGCTGGGCGATCCTGAAATAAATCAAAACTATTTAGACTCTTTCATAGCCCCATGCTATCATGGTTATTATGGCATCAGTGTAATTTAGAAATGGCTCAAACTTTTCAAGGTATTCTAAGTTAAATTATTCCACCATGGTGGCAAACGTAACTTCAACTGTCTCAAATCAAGGTTGTCTCTGTCATAAGGCAACATCCCTGTTCAAGCCACAGAGAACATTGCACAAAGCTGAAGTTATTTGTAAAGAGTTTCCTTTGAGTTATTTGTAAAAAGTTTCCTCTTGAGACAAGTTCAGTTCACCCTCTCAGAATACAGGCCAATTTCAAAGCTTCTTCAAAACCCTGAGTTTCATTTGAACCTGATAATGCCTTAAGTGACACAGAAAACTTGCACACTGATGCTGCAAAAACAGATTTGCAGAGTATATAAAACTAAAGACATTATTTCTTCAGTCTGCAGGCCCTCTTCTGTCACATTCTGCATGCATCAGTCTTGTCCCTGTTTTGGAGGGACTGTTCAATCCCACTCCCACTTTGAGATGTATTTTCAGGCATCTATACCATCAGCAAAGATAAAGGTACATTACTGATGCTCTACTGACACCTTAAAGATACAGCCTATGGCATCAGTAAGCACACAAAAAGGGATCAGTGTCTTTACAATTTAGCCCATGGTATCTCGACTTAATTCCTATTTAGTGACAAGAAACATTAGTTTAGCAAATTTAGTGGACAAACTAAGTGGGCAAACTTTCCAGCAATGGCAGAGTTTGTCACTAGAACAGGGAGAAGTTTCAACAGAGAAACCACATGGTTCTTTCCTTGAAGTGCTTTTGTCCTAAAACCCACAAACTGGTCCCTATGAATCAACACATGAATTTAAAGAAATCCAGCACCTTGTTTCTGATACGATCCCTCTTAATTGTATCCTCTTTTTTATCGTCTTTGGTTACTTTCTCAGATTTGTCCGTGCTGCTGGTAAAGTCTGTAAGATCACTTTTCTTTCCCTTTTCTCTGAGTAAGTCTCTCTCCTTTTTCACCTCTTCCTCTTTTCTTCTAAAAACCTTCTCTTTCTCAAAGCGTTCTTTCTGCCTCCGACGCTCCTCTTCTTGGCGTCTCAGTTTCTCCCTCTGTGCTCTCTCATATTCTCTGTCTCTTTCAAAATCTCTATCTCGGTCCCTGTAGTCCTTTACACACTCATCTTCTGATCTGTATGAAAACAAAACTGAAAATGAAGCTCAAAAGATTCATCAAATAGAGCTGGGAGATCAATGTAATACTGGTGTAAATGTGCAACACGAAGACGACAGAGTGGAAGGTTCTAGGGAGCTTTTGGGAAGCTGTAATAACCTGAGTCATGCACGACAACCAGAGATGATGCTGACTGCTAGCATTTCCTAGCCTTCTACTCACATCGCTGGCCGAGTCTCCTCTGGCTTTGGAAAACACCTGAATTTCTCTGTCTCATCTCTATTTCTCACATGGCGGAACTGAACCTTGGACAGAGCACAGAGCTGCTGAGAATGACACTTTCCACTTTGACCGTCTACAAGACTTAAAGGGACTACTAACTGGAGTATAGCTCTCCTCTTGCCATGGCTATAATTCTCTCATTGCAAGGACAGTGCTTGCAGCCTGCTGCAGGTCACCTACACATGGGCTTCTTTTGCAGACTTCCTACAGTGAGTTGCAAAAATATCAAACTTTGTTCACTGGTGAAGAACTGACAGGTCATTCACACAGCTTTCTGTAATCACAGGGATGTGAACCGCACAGAGAATACATCCCATGCCTTATATCAGAAAAATAATTCGAAAGGAATTTCAAAATGTGATCATGGCAGAGCAGCCCAAGCCTCGGTATGATCAGGAAACAAGTTATATATACATATATATATTTATAGCAAGTACTAGAATACTTTTTTGCCTTCTCTTCTTTTGTCTCCCCATCAGATCGTTTGGCAGATGCACTACTCGCATTTTTTTCCTCCCTCAGAGTCTCTTTTTCCAGTTTCTTGGATTTTTCTTTTCTCTCCAAGTCTTTTTCATCTTTTTCAGGCTTCTTAAGTAGCTACAAAGAAAACAGAAGTCTCAACTAAAAAGCTCACTCTAATACATATTGTCTGGCACAACACCGAAATTGCATCAAAGGAACCATAGTCCAGTAAGAAATAAACATTAAAGTAATGTTACTGCAAGTTACAGTATTTCTAAAAGCTGGAGTGTATGAGTAAGCATAACCCATAGAGCAAACTAGGATTTTTCTCCTAAAACAGACCATTTTAGAAGGCTTAAAAATAGTCTCCATTCCATAGTGAATTCACGATTCCGTTTACCACGGCATGTACAACAGTCACATGACAACAGCTTTAAATAGTACTATGAAGCATTACAGCATGTAAACCTTTACAATGCCTAACATTGAATATTACAAAAAAGTGGCAATTTACTAACATCGAACTCATGTGATTCTTCACACAATACTCAAAGCACATTTTAAGAGACTGATATACAAATAATAGGGGAAAGGGAGTGTAACAGTTTATAATAAAGAACTGTTCTAGACCTTAATCTTTGGTTCATCTTTTGATCTGTCTCTTTCTTTTTCTGGGCATCTGTCTACTTTCTTCAGTTTTTCTGCTTCTTTTCTCTTCCTTCTCTCCTCCTCTTTCCATTTTCTTCTTTCTTCTTCTCTTTGTCTTTTTCTTTCCAATTCTCTTCTCCTCCTCTCCTCTCTTTTTTCTTCCCTCAGTCTCTGTGCATGTAAAAACAAAGAGAAATAGTACGTTTCCACACTAGAAAATACTGCTTTAAACCCAACAACATACCCTGCCACAAAGTGGTAAAGTATTTCATCACCAAATAACTCACCTCAAAACCATCCCTATTTTAAAAGGGCAAAAGAAAGAAAGAAAAGTCCCAATATCTCTGTTGTTCTGTTGTGAATCTGAACACATTACAGCAGCATTTCAGGTTTTTGCCTTGTTCATAAGCCTTGATTTGTACTGTCTTAAAAAAAAAACAAACCAAAAAACCCCAAACACAACACTAGGCCTCGGCCTTTATCATTTTAATTTTAATTGGATCTGCCCCATCTGTGATTTTTTCCATTGCTAAAAGCTAAAATGAGACTATGTGCTAGGAAAAAGATCATCTACAGCAACTTCAGCCACAACTGCATTAAAAAGGAAAGCATTAAAATGGGATCTGGTTTGGCAGTGCCACAGAGATGTTTAGCTGCAACCAGAGTGCACAAAAAGCACCACCTTTTCTACAAAGGCCAGCGTTCTAATAGTTTGTGTGATCCAGATATTAACAAGGAAACTTGGGTCAAAAGCTTCTTCAAAATAAAGGGCAGAAATATATCAAGATACACATTGCTATATTCACAACTATGCTTTAAATGAGCAAGTTATACTTGCAAGCAACAAGAAGATTCAGGAGATAGGTCTTACCTGTTTATTTTTCAAGAAGTTCAATAAAGGAGTAGTCTTTTTAGCTAAAGAACATATAAAAACAAATGTAAACCATTTACATTATCCAATACTGCAATACCTACAACAAAACCCTATGTGAAACAAAGAAGCCTTCTGGATTATCCAGCCTATCTCCTCTCACATACAGCACTACAGCAGTAAAACAAGTATTTCAATCCTATCTCTGAACAGTGGCAGCTGTTAGGATTCTAGAAACTTCTTTAGGACACTAAAAAAAAATATCCAGTACCCCTATCTGTAAAGGGATATTCACTTTGCATTAAGCTTCTCCCAGATTCTCTCACTTTCAAAGAGACACCTGTAACATGCTTTAAAAGAGCATTATGGTCATTTTTGTGATATTTTACCCAACCACAATATCTTTTATCTTCACTCACAGCATTTTGCATTAAACATCACTGCATCTCGCTGAAATGCAGTCACTCCACATCCTAGTCTGGCTAACAAACATCTGGTTAGCAATTTAAAACGGGAAGGAAAGTTATCATATAAAACTTAGAGAAGAATTCAGAGCATGGGAGCAAAATAAAAAACACTGAATAATATTAGCCTAAAGGTTTATCAAATACCACGCAAGCACACAAAAGAATTCAGCCTCCTCCAGGTTGAGAAATCACAGCTTCAAATTACACCACATACATTTTTTTTGTGCTCTAGGAAAATGTAACTCCAGTACACAGATTTCCATACCTATTAGCTCTTTGTTTCTTGCCTCTATTTCCTCCAACAAAGTTTCAGGAGTGGAAGTTAATTTTTCATCATCTGCACTGTAGCTTTCCAAAAACTTCTTGTACTCTGGATCTATGGGGGTGGAAAAAAAAAAAAAAAGGAAAGAAAAAAAGAGAGATCTACTGTAGTATGAAAAGAATTTGCATTGTGCACTGCTGGAAGTTTGGGTTAGATTTGCCTAAGTTGTGTTGTTTGTATGTCACCTTTTCGATAGCTGGCAGCTCTTAAATGAGCTGCTGCCTTATGTTTGTCTAGGACAATCATATTTAACAGACTGGCATCTGACAAAGCAGTGCTAATAAGATTCACATGTAATTAAGCAAACATTCTATTGGTAAACTTCAGTGTCACAGTAAAAGCATTATACTCAAATTACTGCTAGGACTTTGAAGTCTACACATGCAAAACAAACTAGATAGCTGTTATACCATCTTCTATAGTTCCAGTTTTGGCATCCTTTTTCTTACTCTTCTTTTTTGCAGCTTTTTGGAAAGGTGCAAACTCTACTATGGCAGCATATTCCTGACCTGTTAAGAGAAGAGGGCAAAATATATTAAAATAAATATGAAACAGATATAAAAGAGAGTATACTGTCCATGTCTAAAGCAGGAAGATAACCCTCACAAGAAATACGCAATACTAGAAGAGACTATTTGGAAAGCATAAAAAGATTCCTTGTATTTTGAAAGCTATTTAATAAAAATATTTTAGAGACAGCAGAATTCATGAACTAAACACTCTCACCATGTTAACAAAACAGCAAACTCAGACTCACAACAAGGAGTAAATACTAGATTTAAGACTGCCCATAACTGTCAGTTTGGCCACCTCAGCTACACCACACCATGTAATATCCTCATCTTACAGACTATGCATTCCTTGTGCAAGTAGAAGAGAATATTTTAAGTTAATGTAACTGAGGCAAATCTCACTTTTTGGCAAAATAAATAGAATGCAACATTACAGGTAGGCTTTAAAGTTTTATCTTTGGACTGCTGTTGGGTATGGCAAGTACATAGTGTAATGAGTGTGCTGTTACACTGCAAACCAGCTTATTTAAAAGACCTAGGTGTTATTAGAACCTTGTCATGCAACCCTCCTAAATAAGGAAGAATCTTGTGGACAGAACTTTGTGTCACATAAAAAACCTGGCTGGCTGAAGAACACAAGTACTTGAAACAAAGTTCAAGGAGAAACCCTTAGCCTTGTGAAGCCAACAGGAAGACTCTTGATAAAGCTTTTGCTAAATACGTAAATTTAAGGTCTACCAATGAGAGATTTTTAGTGCTACCCCCAACGTAAGCAATTTTGCAATACAAAATTTAAGAACATGAGATGTACTGAATATCTAACAAGCATTTTGAAAAAAGATAAGTGACAACTATGTATTTGGATGTTTAACCAATGAATTAAACAAAATATTTGTTTCCTACAGATGAAGGACCCCAGAGAGCAATCACTTTCACAACTCAAGACCTGCCAAGAACAAACTGTTCGTTTTACTGAATCAAAATGACTCACACAGTTGTAAACCAAACCAAGCAATAATCTGATTAAAAACTGACCAAAAAATAAGTCACACTGCTGGAGGCCTACAGAACAGGTGAGGAGAGTCACTGAGAGCAGCATCAATAACCTCAGCTTCATTTAGTTTAGACAGCAACGTCACCTACTCACTTTCACTTTCCAGACTTTATACTTGGGCATGACAATGCAAGTATTAACTTCAGTAACACAGCAACTGGTTTTATATTGATACCACTATTACCTTGATGCACACTTAACTGGGCTTTACACACAACATAAAAAAAAAAATCAATTTAGAAACATACAAAATCAATTCAGATTAGTTGCCACAAAGCATAAGGCGTTTTCTTTGAAATACTGCACTAAAAACAAACAAACCACAAATGGCACTTTAGGCTGCTCACACCTGTCCCTCTAAAACTTCTGAAGTTGAAGAACACCACGCACACCCGGAACAGCCAGACGCCGTTCACTTGCCTTTGTGATCGACAAACACATAGCCGTCAAAGCGATCCCTGAAGAGGACTATGTCTTCCTGGTTTTTAAAGTTGATGTAGGCTCTCGAGAACATGTGAGGGTACAAGCTGCAGGGAGACAAGGCCGAGAGAAGCGGGCTGACCCGGGGGCCGGCACCTCGCGGGGCCCGGCTGGCGGCAGCTCCCAGGAGGCAGCCCCCCGGGGCGGGGGTCCCGGCGGCCCTACCTGGAGTCATTGGCGAAGAACTCGAAGTAGTCGTGCTCGGGCAGGGGCTGGAGGTGCTCCTCCAGCTGCTCCTTCGTCAGGCTGGGCGGCAGCCTCCGGATCACCACCTACGGCACGGCGGGCAGGGCGGTTAGGGCGACCCCGGCACCGCACCGCACCGCGCCCCCGCCAACGGCCGCCCCCCAACGGCCGCCGCGCGAGGCCCGTTACCGCGGGCGGGGCGGGCCCGCACCGAGCGGCGCGCAGGCCCCACCTTGCTGAGCGTCTCCTTCTTGTCCTTGGGCCGCTCCAGGCGGTCGAGCTCGGCGGCGCTGCCGCCACCGCCGCCACTCCTTCCGTCCGTGACGGTGGCGGTCCCCGTCCCCAGCAGGGCCCCCGGCCCGGCAGCGGGCCCACCGCGCCGCTCCTTAGGCCTGGCGTTTTCCTTGTCCTCCTTCATCCCGGGCCGCCGGACAGCCCCGCCCCGCCCAGCCCGCCCATTGGCCGCAGCGCCTCTGCGCGACTGCGCCGTAAAGGGCCACGAACCGCGCCCTCCACCCAGGCCTTTCCCCCCGCACACCCCGGACTACAACCCCCGGCGTGCACCGCGCCGCGCGGGGCAGGCCGGGAGTGCCCGCAGGCAGGCCGGGGCGGCGGTGAGGGCAGTGCAGTCGGCGCGGCACCGGAGCGGAGCAGCGGGATGTGGTACGAGATCCTGCCTGGCATGGCCATCATGGGCATCTGCCTCTCCATCCCCGGCCTCTCCACCGTCTTCATGCACCGCTTGTGCAACGGCGGCAAGGTCAGCGCGGGGCCGGGCGACCGGGCCTACCCCCTCCCACCTCCACCCGCGGCGGCCCGGGATCCCGGGGCACCGCTTCCCCCCAGCCCCCTCGTTCCCCCTGGAACCCCTTCCTTCCGCCTCTCCGCTTCCCTCAGGACATCTCCCCTCCGAGATCCCCGTTCCCCTCGGGACCCCCCTTCCCTCCGAACCCCTTCCCTCCGAGATCCCCCACTTCCCCGGGGTTGTGACAGGCAGCGCCGCCTGTGCCCGCAGGAGAAGCGGATCGCCCGCTACCCCTACCAGTGGACCCTGATGGAACGAGACCGGCGGCTGTCGGGTGTCAACAAGTACTACGTCTCCAAGGCAGGTGCCGGGGGCACGGGGCAGGTAGCGCCGGGAGGGGAGCAGGAGCCCCGAGCTCGGGGCTCCCACGGCCTCCGTGGTGGGCACCAGCAGCTTGGGTACTTACAAAGCATAGTGGGGGAAACTGCCTGGTCAGTTACACACTCTTGCAAGTTAGTGACAAGAACGGTGCAGATACAGCTGTTACTTTTTCTTTTTCAGGGTCTGGAGAACATAGACTAAGGTGGCGGCACTTTGAAGAATCCAGTATCTATATAAAATGATTTAACTCTTTAATAAAGATATACATGTATTCAGCCCTTGTATCTGTGTTGCTGTGGTGGGCTGACCCTGGCTGGATGCCTCTCTGCACTCCTCAGCTGGACAGAGGAGAGAATATAACAACAGGCTCACGGGTTGACACAGGGCAGGGACATCACTCAGCAATTACCATCATGGGCAAAACAGACTCAGCTCGGGGAAACTAGTTTAACTTTTTACCAATCAAATCAGAGTAATGAGAAAAAACAAAAACTGAAACAAATTGCCAAACACTTACCCCACACCACTCCCTTCTTTCCGTGCTCACCTTCACTCCTGATTTCTCTGCCTCTTCCCCAAAGCGGCACAGGGGGACAGGGAATGGGGTTTGGGGTCAGTTCATCACATGTCTCTGCTGCTCCTTCCTCCTCAAGGAGAGGACTCTCACACTCTTCCTCGTTCCAGTGTGGAGTTCCTCCCATGGGAGATAGTCCTTCGGGAACAGAAGGGGTCCCCTGCGGGGTCACAAGATTACCAGCAAACCTGCTCCAGCATGGGCTCCTCTTTCCACAGGGCTACAGGTCCTGCCAGCAGCCTGCTCCATTGCGGGCTTCCTACAGGGTCACAGCCTCCTTTGGGCATCCCTCTGCCTTGGGTGTGGGTTCCTCCATGGGCTGCAGGTGGATCTCTGCTCTGCCACGGACCTCCATGGGCTGCAGGGTGACAGCCTGCCTCATCATGGTCTTCACCACAGGCTGCAGGGGAATCTCTGCTCTGGTGCCTGGAGCATTTCCTGCCCCTTCTTCTTCACTATCCTTGGTGTCTGCAGAGGTGCTCCTCTCACATCTTCTCACTCCTCTCTCCAGCTGCAATTGCTGTTGTGCAGCAACTTCAACTTTTTCCCCTTCTTAGCTATGTTATCCCAGAGGTGCTACCACCATTGCTGATGGGCTCAGCCTTGGCCAGCAGCAGCTCCATCTTGGTGCCAGTTGTCATTGGGTCTCTCGGACGTTGGGGAAGCTTCTGGCATCTTCTCACAGAAGCCACCCCTGTAGTCCCCCCACTACCAAACCCTTGCCACACAAACCCAATACAGTTGTGTATAAGCTTTGGACAGAATTGTTTTCCTCACTTTATGCACTGTGATATACACTACACAGGTGTCTGTGGGCAAGAAAAGGAATGCCAAGAGGACAACTGCAAAACTACCATTATGGATGCATCTGTGATAATAAGTACTAGCGAGATGCAGAAAGACACCTATTTTTGCACTCGCTTCTGCTGACCTGCAGCTCCCCGTAGGGACCCTGCTGACTGCGCAGCAGCGTGAGAACAGCCAGCGTCACCTGCAGCTTGTGACTCTCCCCTCCCAGCACACTAGCGTTCAGCAGTTTTAACTTGCAGCCAAAACTTGCCTCTGCTACATCCTAAATCTGCTATAAACAATGTCTCTTGCTCATCTGCTTGTTAAAGTACGGCCAATAGGAGGAGGAAATGAAGACCTTGTGTCAATAGTGTTAATACCAATTGACTGTGGAACAACCACAAATAACAACAGAGAGTCAACAAGGGGCAAAGGTAAACAGAGGGGGGAAAAAACCCCCAATAAACAAACAAACAAACCAAAAATCAGAGAAATTTCTGAGAAATTTCCAGGCCCATGACTGGAAAGTCATGCCTACTCAGCTGGGCAGAGTCTACTTGAAAGAGCTGCCAGGCTGGCAGCAAAATAGCCTTTTACTGTTCCACAGCCAGTGGGAACTGAGGATGCCCAGCTGCACCAGGAGTTGTTTTCAGCTGATTGTAACCAAGTCTGTTTCTCTGCTCTACCCAGAGAATTTGTAATATAATTCCCTCTATTTCCTTGTAGACATACTGAAAAAGTGATAATATTGCATAAAAAGAGAACACACTGATGTAAACAGAATTCTTCTGGATTTACATCAGAATGAATAACAGCAACTTCAGACACAGAAATTTGCATCTGAATGTTCAGATCTGATGCCAGATCACAGGGACTACGACCTACAGTTTGCTCATTTATTCCTCTAGTGGCTGAATCCTTTTAACACCCCCTTGTCACCCTGGAAGAGCAGTCGCTGGGAATTCAGCACGCTGTGCTCTGCTAAAACATCTCTGGTCTCTCTCAGTGTCTGTGGTCCTTTCCCCCTTGAAGGGCTCTGTGTCCCAAGAGCTGGTGTGCAGAGCCTGCAGCACCTCTGTGCCACGGGCCGGGCTGAGACTGTGTGTGGCAGAACACAGACCAAGAGCTGGTTTAGTTCCCAAATCGTTGAGACTGGCAGAAACTTGACAAAAAGAGAACCTGGCAGGATCCCACATGATTCTATGATCTGCTTTCCTGCTCAGCCCGTCTTCCCCTTCCAGAAGACTATGGCTGCTGAGGAGGAATTTCCCCAGGATCCCTGCTCCAAAGGGGCCCTGCAGTCCCCCATCCATAACCCCCCCCCCCCCCCC